GTCTCACACATGTTTGCTCACAGCCAAATGCTGCCCACACAGACCAGAGGTTACACTAACTATAGGAAAGGCCTGTTAGAGCTGCCTGATTTTCAAACCATGAAAGGGGGAAGTATGGATTTAAATATGGCCACAGTGGCTCAGTGGTTAGAGCAGTGGTCTCCCAACCTGCTATGACCAAGTTCTATCATTGTGTCTTTAGGCAAAACACTTCAACCACATTGCCTAGTATGAATGTGGTGTGTGGCTGATTGTTGGTGGTTGTCAGAGGGCAGGGTTATTTCCCTCAATCTACCCCAGGACAGTAGATTACATGGACACCAGATCAGGTGGCTTGTTTTTCTAATTAGACGAAGACACTGCAGTGGTCTGATTTTTTTCATGCATGTTGAAGTGATCTTGTATTGTCCTGCATTTGAGGCTTGAGTGCTCAGAACCTCCCACCTCTATATACTAACACAGATTCATTCAAAAGATTCACCCAGGTCATAAATGTAGGACTTAAAATGTTGTGTAGCTTTGTGTCATTTTCAATAATAAAAACATAAATGAAAATCCGCTACTTAGAGGCCAGATTGTAGTTTTGAACAGGAAGTCAACGGTCTCATTTCTCTTATTTAGACGTTTCAGATCAATTTTTGATGCTCTGAGTCACCCCTCCCTTTTTTCTCTGCATTCTACTCTTAGTGCGTTCACACAATCCTTGTGCGTCCTGCTTAAGAAACTACTGCACATCACATCAGGTTTGTGAAGTTTTAGTGTACAGTTTTGTGTCATGTTTTTATATTTTTTATGGAGAATTGTCTTATGGGAACATGGGTGCTGTAGGCTTGTTGGTGGAGCATTGCATAGACTCTTACTGCTAACCATAAGGAGGGTTCAAATAGGGCCCAGGAGAGATCACTAAATTACTCAAACATGCATGGATGACATCTAAAACCTCTTCAGGCATGTTTTTGATGAGGGAACCATGTTAAAGCTCCAAAAAGTCGATTTTGCACCCCCTCTTTAATAATAGAAAAAATCATAATATGTCTTCATTGAAAAAACACAATAAGATGAACCCTCTCTGATTGTGTCCCTCACTGTCCCTCTGTGTCCCTGTCTCTCAGTCCAGTCAGGTTCCTCTTCAGCTGGTTCCCCATGTGTCAGCAGAAGTGTCGGGTGCTCTGTGGTTCTAAATATGTGACAGCTCATATCCAGAGCTGCATAGAACGAGTGGAGTTGCTCCTCTGTGGAACTGGGGCTCTGCTTACACACTGTACTGCTGAGGAGGCCATTCTACTGCTACCCAACGACACATCACAACATTTTGAGATACAAAAAATGTGACAAACATTAGTGCGTTATTCAGGGGCAGTGAATTCATTGTGTTCACTTTCTATAATTTGATCATGGTATAATTTCAGGTGGAGGGCCTGTATAACTCTATGGGAGATTTACTGTGCATTATTTGTTTGAGATTGTTTCCACAAACTTTCCATTTCAATTTTATGACTGACAACAATCATGCCTTTGGGGTTTAATAATGCCACCACTTTAGTTTGTTTATACTGACAGAGAAGTCATCAAAATGTATGCCAGTTTTTCTTTCAAGTGGATAAGCCCAGTAGTTACAGAGATATGAACCAGAAACCAGGTCAATAAATCTGCAATCTGACAGTTAAATAGCAAACTCCACCTGAGAATTCTGACCTGTCTCCTGCTCAGTTTAAATCACTTCATAGACCTGATCAGGGACCAGCAGAAGACTCTGTAGTTACACTGTGGGTACTGGTGCAGCGGCTCAATGGCACATGTCTGAGTGACAGTGACAGTGATCTGTCCCACAGCCTCTGGACGACTGCAGCAGACGACAAACACACAGAGACAGAGAGCTGCAGCTTTAGCACTGCATTCAGATTAACATCATAATATCAGATAGAACAATGTTTAAATGACCAGAAACTACTTACCAGAAACACATACAAAATATTATTCAAAAGGAGATGCACAAAGCTTATATTTGCTAATCTTGCACCATCCATAGTTACAAGAAGGACATATTTAAATATGTCTAAAGTGTTCCTAGTTTTTACCTGTTATACTTGTTGGTTGGTTTTGGTATTGGTTCATAAGATAAAGCAGGGCGACATTGGCACAGTGGTTTGAGCAGTGGTTGGCGGTTCAGTCCCAGTGCAGTCGTTGTGTCCTTAGTGAAGACACTTCATCCAGCCTCTGTTATGAAAAACAGAATTTGTTTATTTATAGTGGTCCAAATGTATTCCTCAGTTTTCAAACATAATGCACTTTTACTTTAATTTATTTTTGTTGACAGAGAAGATATGAACCATAAAACAGGTCAACAAATCTGCACTCTGACAGTAACACAGCAAACTCCACTTGAGAATTCTGACCTGTCTTCAGCTCAGGTTAAACTATAGGGATTCTTGAATGTTGTGATGGAGCTAACCTATTACAGAAGCCCCATATATTACACAGACATTCTGACAGACTGTGCCTCTGTCTTTAATGAAGAGCCAGAGCCCTGTTTGTGAGCGTGCATTTGTGGCCTATGACTAATGTGTTAATTGTAGCAGTGGATTGATTGAAACCTGTTGTACAGAAGCAGCTGCTGTTTAGTCCAGATTAAAAGAGCTTGAGCACATGTCTGTTTCCTTCAACACACATTCAAGTCTGTTTGATTGCAAAAAAGAACAAGATCTACCATACTTAAAGAGGGATATTACACTTCGAGGGGGTATTAACTATTAACTCATAACATATTTAGATCACCTTGTTACCTTTTATTCTTTTGAAAATTATATAGTTTGAGTACCTCCTTCCTTTGTAAATTACCTCCCCTTCAGAGAGCTAATGAAACTACTGCACATCCCATCCAGTTTGTGAATTTGTTGTGTACAGTTTTGTGTCATACTTTTATATACATATGGAATAAATGACCGTGTGGGAGCATGGGTGACGTAGGCTTGAGGGTTGTACGGACACATACTGGGGGTTGAACGATTTTGGCAAAAATATTTATATCCATTTTCCAACAAGCATTGCTATTATGATTAGATTTGTGATTATGTATTAATAATAAGATTTCATTCAAAGTTCATATTTTAAAACTACTCAGAAGCGTTCACATTTGAAGACTGAAATCTAAGCTGAATTCCATGCAATAAAACAGTAATTGCATTAGAAAAACATGGGGGGGAAAAGGTGTCCTTACTGTGAGCAGCCTTGCATCTCCTCAAACCTGACTCCTATTTGGCCTGGTAGAGGGCCTCCTCCTGCTTCTTTCCATGGAAATGTTGCTGCTTAGGCTATAACACTATGGCATAAAATGCATCTGTGTGGAGAATGTTCCAAAGTAGGGTTCCATGGAATCATGCAGGCGATCTACCACCTCCAAAAAGTTACATACTGTACCTTTAAGGTCATAGGTCACAATTCCTGATTTTTCTGGACACTCTTGTTACGAGAAGTAGACTGTTCCCATACAGAGCCTCACAGAGATAATTCTGTCCAGAGCCTGTTCCTGTGGTCGTAGGTGCTGAGTGTGAGAGGACAGGTGGGCAGTAGGAACCTTAGTGTCTAATTGTTCCAGGGGGAAGCACCTCCCTGCGGCGCCTTCAAGAGTGCGCCTGCTATTTCCAGCCCCGGTTAGAGTTTCAGTATGCGGAGTATTTACAGCGTAATCACAATCACCAAAGTGCAAACACTCAGTGGTTCTGAACAGCACAAACGGTTCAAATACAAAATGTAACTCTAAACAAAGTCTCCCTTTGACACTCAGTTATGTAAGACGTATGTTACAGCACTGATTATGTCATTGGCCTGAGAGCGGCTGCTATCATTCATGAAATATATATGAATAGGCTGGTCACAATTACACTTTCTACAAGTGGAATATATGTCCTTTAAAAGTTTGCAAACAAATAGATTAATTGAAGAATGGAGACAACTGGAGGCAGAAGGGAAGAAACATGCCATTTCATTCATTTTTTTAGGATTCGTTTGGCTTGTAAATCCTGAATGACATGTCTGTATTTTCAGAAACCTCAGATTAGCAGAAGTTAGTGCTCCGCTCATTGATTCTGCTGAAATCTGCCATATTACAGAAAACACAGGGGCATACTATACCACTACCACTGCACTACCAACTGAAAGAGTGTTGTGGAGTTTACATGTCCTTCCTGTGTGTCAACTTGATTCTGTTTCCTCTTATGTTTTAAAGGAACTTTCATGGTTAGAAACATATTCGAAGTTATGACAAAATGTTATGACCATTACATGTTATGACCAAATTTTATGTGAAGTGCAGTTTGTACTTTCGCCTCACAGTAAGACAGTCCTGGGTTTTACTCCAGAGCAGTGCTGTTTGCATGTTCTCCCCGTGGCTCTGTAGGTTTCCTCTGCGTACTCCAGTTTTCCCCACCACTAAAACATGTACGATGGAGTTCAACAGTGACAGCCTACACCTTGGTTCCGAAAGTAAATTTGTTATAATTTTTTTCCATAGACTTTCTGAAAAAAAAATAATAATAATAATATTTAAAGCTTCAAAGCTCAGGGCTAATCAGCTCTATGGTAATGACCGCAAGACGTATATTATTATGTAAAATCTGTTAAGCTATTAAAGCATTTTGCCAAATCTTGCATTTTTGGAACCAAAACAACTGCCTTATGGATATTAATTGCCACACAGCTGATTAGCCTCTGTTGAGCTTTCAAATTCTTAATATTTTTTTTTTTTTTTTAAGTCTATGGGAAAAATGAAAATGGAAAAATTTTATGGGAAATTCACCTCTAAAACCAGGAGCTGGCAGTCTCTGTTGAGCTCCATAGGATCTCTTCTGGGGCCACTGAAAAAGAGATTCTTAATCTCAGCAGGACTATCCTGGTTGAATAAAGGTCACTAAACTATAAAAGAATTGTTTTACACACTTGTCCATCTGTACTGTACTAAGACATAACTGATGTATTCTAATGTGTGTGCATGTTTTCTGCAGAACCACTCATGCAAAGGGAAAGTCTGATGGAGCAGACCAGGCGGCTCAGGCCTCCAGCGGAGAGGCCAGTCTGGCCCGAGCTGTGGCCAAAGAACTGTCACCTTCATTCTACCAACCAGGTAACTCTCCTCATGTGCTTTGTGCTTTATCCACATATTTATATGGGCTGTATACACTTATTCATATGTGCTGTATACACTTATTTATATATGCTTTATACACATATTTATATGTGCTTTATACACATATTTATATGTGCTTTATACACTTATTTATGCTTCTGTAAACTGTGTTATGGCCTTGAGATGAGGCTGGGGCTCAGCGAAGGGAGATACACATTTGAAAGTCTAAAAATGGAGCATCTGATTGAGTTCAGGAGGTTGTATCATTTTACATCCAGAGACATGCTCTTTACACACAGAGACCCTCACACAGACCCACATAGAGTGTACTGTTCAGACCTGCTGGTTTAACTTCACTTTGCCCCTGTTTTCATATCTTTAACCATAAAGCTGTGAGAGGTGGTCTAGTACATGAATGCATCTTCATTAAAGGGCCTCTACCTGATGTGGAATTCTTCAGTTTGAGATAAATTACCTTTATATAATGCAGTGTATTGTAAATGTAGATAAATGAGAAAAAATGCTTGACTAAAAGACATAACATAAGCATTTTACAAAGCATTTTGTTGCATAAAAATGAACAAAGAAGCTTGCTCACTTTGATCCAATCAGGAGCACTTATACTAAAACTCATGGGATACCAATTGTTTGGCACTATGTCAAACACTTGATTCTCTTTAATGCTGCATTTTCAAGACCATTTTTAGAGGATATGGACAGATTATTTGTTTGTCAACACAGCGGATGTGCACGCAGCCTGAGTGCAGAAAGCACCACTGTCAGCACACTAATACAGTTTATCACCATGTGATAAGATAAGTTATGATGCTAAATTAACCTTTGTGAGTGGGATACATCTTAATGGCCCATATGTGTTAAATGCAGGTGAGTGCGTAAATGACTAGAAGACGGCTCAAACTTCAGTAGCTGGACGTCCAATCATACCTGATAGAACTAACCCCACCCCCAGGAGAACCTGAAATCTGCAGAAGTCCTACAAGACACCGACATGATACCAGACAGGATAGCGAAGCAACATAGTCTGATAATCCCACGATAAATTGCTGAAAACTAAGTGGAAACAAACAGTCCCAGACAGTAGTTTCTGTGGACTAAGTGGGTGGGGCTAGAGTTCACACTCAACCATGTCCATCACTCATGGTTAAAAATCGGGTACAGGCCCTTTAATGGTGCTTATAAAGAAGAAACTGAACCCCATGAATGGAATGAGCCTTGAGTGATGTGATTCCCCACTCTACTATTAAAGTTAATCCTAGGTTTCAGATGACATCACAACATTCTACAGGCCAGTCATATTTAATACAGGTGGGGCAGCTACAGTGAATATTGTTCAAATACAGATTTCTTCTTAGGTCTGGTCTCTAATAGAAATTATCAGGTTCAACATTTTTGAATGAACTTTTTGGATATTTCATGAAATATTGAATGAAAATATTCATGAAATATTCAAATTGCAAAGTAATCAATAGGGGAAACTATTGCCTCTTACAGTTTCCCCTATTGAATGCGTGAAGTATGTTGTATGTATAAAGAAGTCGACTAAGGGACCACGTCATAGCATTCGGCTCCACTCAAATGAAGCTCATCAAGGCTAGCAGATATACTGGCTAATATGGAGCAGAGTTCCCTATTTGGAAATGCTCACTTCCTACTTGGAACGCAGCAGCTACCAGAGGTTATCTATGTCCATTTATATGTACAGTCTATGGTAATTTTTCAGTCATCCAGGTAAGTTCTATAGTGGCCCATGGACGTATGCTAGTCTGTGTGTTCTTATACTTGTTCTGTTGCAGCTCAAGATCATTCTAATTCTAAAGAAATGGTTCATGTCTGTCCCATGAATGTGACTTTTTAGTATTGATTGATACCTGCTCAAATGAGTATCAAATGAGTATTGCCTCCCCAATAATCCAGTCCACATTGTGTCTTCCCAGGTCCAGAGTACCTGAAAAAGCGTGCCCTGCAGGAGGCAATGGAGAGCAGTGAGAACACAGACACTGTGATGCACGAGCCACTGTTAGCCGAAGAAGAGCCATTGCCCACCCCTCCTGAGAGTCCTGTTCCCAACGAGCTTGACCTCCTCATGCCTGAGTCGTCACCCGCACGGACCCCCTCTCCCAGCCCCGGCATCACCCAGCCCCCCAAAGACGACAAGCTTCTCAGCCCTAGAACCTGGAGCGAGGGAGGAGGGAGCACCAAGTCAAACAGCAAACCAAACAGTCGCCCTATTACGCCTTCTACACCTGTCACTACTGCTCCTCCACCTGCACCTGTCACTCCTGCATCCGCCCCCGAACGCAGCCCGAGCCGCCAAAGCAACAAAGTCGAACAAGACCTCGAAATTAAACCTCTCCAAAAATTCAACGACGAGAAACAATCTGAAGCTGCAATTTCCGCTCCATCCCCAGCACAAGTAGAGGAGGAAGAGGAGCCAGTACCACCTGTACCACCTCCACGCCCAACATCCAAAATGTCCGCTAAAGCTGCCACCCCAGAACCGCCGAAAGTGGTAGAGCCAAAGCCTGAGAGAGCTCCATCAGTCCAGGAGAGGGCGCCATCCGTGTCCAGGGAGACAAGTAGATCTTCGAGCAGAGCAGATTCAAGGCCGGCGTTGAAGAGGCAGGCGAGTCCCGCTCCAAGACCTAAACTGGAGGCGAAGATCCCAGCTCCCAAACCAGTGGAGCCCAAACCAGCAGAGGTTAAAGCTGTGGTACCTAAAGCAGCACCTAAACCTGAGCCTAAAGCTGAAACTAGACTGAAGTCAACAGGAGTGAGTCAGAGCAAAGAGGAGCCACTGGACTCTCTGGATATGGAGGTATGTGGCATATATTTACAGTTTTACATTTAAAGGTGCACTGTGTTTGCCTGGGACCCAGAATACACACTTCTTTAATACTTTACCATGATGTGAGTCAAGATGTGAATCTCCCTGAGTTCAGATGAGCGTAACTGACAGGTAGATTAGCCAATCAGATAGACAACATGTATGGTCTGTCCATATCAAAACAAATATGGCTGTTTATGAGGAAAAGTAAATCTAGAAAAGATATTGATGAACATCGCAGTTTTCTATAGAATCAAGGAGCAACGTAGTCAACTCTGTTAATCTGAGATGAGGGAAATGTCATTTTATTCAAAAGAATAAGCAACCAATGAGCTACTTTGTTTTACAAAGGAGTAGAATTACATCTTAAATGTGTGGAGAGGCAAACCCCTTCACTGTAAGAATGCAAGAGATTTTCCAGCAATAAAAAGACCTGCAGCTTAATAAATAAAGATAGATAAGAATAATGCCATACTGTTGGCTGCCACACTGTGCAACTAAAACATTATTTAATAAACCCAAAAGGTGCTCTATGATATAATGTTTGTGTGGGTGAGTGGGTGTGTGCGATGATTCTAAATTTCAAATTTCTTCTCAGGGCCCGAACACCATCTTGATTGTCATGGTAATTCTACTTAACATTGGGTTAGCCATTCTCTTTGTGCACATCCTGTCTTGAGGTTCTTTACTTCAGGTAAGACATGTGAAAGTATTACATTGTACATTTGCAAATATTTGTGACTGTATATACTAAGTAGTGGGGAAGCAATTGCCCATTTTGTACTGTCATTGCTATCCTTAGGCAAGACACTGAACTCACCTTACTGTGTATAAATGTGGTGTGTAATACTGGCAGACTCACTTCCATCACTCCTCCCCAGGCTTGTGTCCAAAAAAGTGCTATTGAAGGTTACTGAAGTTAATATAAGTGATTACTATCCTCACCTTCCTGGCCCCAGTTATGTTCTAATCACTTACAAAACTGGTGTCATTGTTATGAATAATATAAACCCTCAAAACCTGGAGCAAATCAACTGGAGCAAATCTAAACTATAATCAAGTCAAACATTTTTTTTGTTGAAGGTTACAGTTGGAAGATGGCGCCTCCTCAGGACCAGAAATGCTACGGCCTCCTGCAGACAGCCAGGGGGCGCTGTTTTTTGTTGAATGACTTGTGTTGAGGCTCTGGGAATCTCCGAGACTCGAGACAGAAGAGAAGAGGAAAGGCTCCAAAAACTGGGACAATTCAGGACAAAAAGTGTTGAAGTCACGATGGATGAGTATGTCTACACAGGAAGAAGTCATCAATGTTGTTTTAAATGGAAAGGAACTACGCAGAGTTCAGAAGATGTTGGTTAATTACTGACTGAAAATTCTCACCAAAATGCCTTAACCATGATTATATAGCAACAGCACACGTGTGAAGAGTGTGGGAGTGTATTTATGGTCAGTGTACTGTTTTAATGTTGTTTTAATTGTACTGTAGTAACTTTTAAATTATTCATAATTCACCCTATGCTGTGCTAGAAACTGCATTTTTAAGCTTACCATATTGAAAATGTACCTATTGTTTCATTCACATCAGTTTGAGTACTCTTGCATATTTAGTCTATCTCAAAACCTTCTGTTACACCTGCTGATGTCACAAGGTGGTAACCAGGAAGTAGGCTGCATTCATTTGTGCTGTAGTAATGTTTAAATTATTCCTAAATGCCCCATGTTGTTAGAAACTGCCTTTTTAAGCTTACCAGAGAAAACATAGCTTTCGTATAATTTATAACTGTTAGTCCATATTTAGTCTATCTCAGAACACTCAGTTTCACTTGCTGATGTCACCAAGTGGTATCCACGAAGTAGTTTATAATATTGAACTGGGCAGTTCATGATTCAAGCTATCAACATGACTTCGCTACAAAGCTGGCCACTGCTTTTACCGTGGTTTAAACTGCTTTACCTTAAACCATGCGTTCTCTGCTAGAAATAATTACATTTTGTATATGCACAGAGCTTATGGCTGAGAGCATTTGACCAGTTTTCAATTCAAATGAATTATATTAGGTTATAAAACAGATAGATTGTGGTGTGCAGACTTATTTTAAATGCTTAAAATAACAGAATGTATGAGCTTTAAATCGCATTATTTATTACAGGTTGTGAATGGTAGTATTTAGTTTAAGTTGAAACAATTCTCTGGGAAAATGTAAAATATAAAAGTGTACTGAATCTCCTCTTTGCAGTAATAGTTTATGCTTCTCATCTGCTCCAATTGCAAACACTGGTCTAACCTTAATTAGCTGGAGAGATTGATTAAAATGGTTTGGGTTCAAATTAATTAATATTTTTCTTATGTAATTTCTTAAGAAATTCTTCATAAAATCTCTTGGTATGTCATGTTTTAGAGTCTGTGTATAGTCCAGAGAGGAATATTCCATTACTAAATTAGTGAACGATTATCTTGGTAATCAATAAATTGTGATTAATTGATTCACTTGTTTCAGATCTAAAAGTGATCTATTGATATTTTTATATAAAGATGATTGGAAGAAACAAGCAAGAGTATATGCAAAACCACTAAGACAAGTCAGTATGTGTTTCTTACAGTAGCTTGCCTTACACTGCTGTGGACTTCACTGTGAAACTTCATTTTCACTTGTTTGTATTTATGATCATTCAAATGTAATGACTATATTGTGTTTGAATAGAGAAGTATTGGTGTTTGTGCTGTTTAAATGCTGGATTGTTGTACTGTATTACAGAGGTGGGCAGTGTCTGTTACTTCAAAATAGTTACTTAAGTAAATGTAATTGTGAACTACCCACCTCTGCATATTTGCCTGTCTCTCATGGCACCCAGGTGGTAAAACAGTGTTCTCTGCTCAGACCTCTCAAAATCTATGGTAATGAGGACTAGACCAGGGCTAAGACTGGACTAGACCAGCACTAGAGCAGGACTACACCAGGGGAGTAGCATGGCCCTTGAGACAAACCATGTTGGAGGGCTGACATTAGATGACTGTATGAGTCATCAGTTTAGCAAATCCTGGTTCACTCTCTGGTTTTGTCCTGGTTTGACCAGGTTTTGATCTGGTTTAGTCCTGCTTTAGTCCCTGGTTTAGATTTGGTTTAGTCCTGTTTTAGTCCCAGCTTTAGTCCAATTTTCAGTCCAATTTTCATCCCTGGTTTAGTCTTGCCTGAGCAGTCATACACACATGCTTTAGGAGGGACTGGCTGGTCAGGCAAGGTTTAGTGCCTGGTGCCGTCCTGGTTTAGTCCAGGATTAGACCTGATTTTGACCTGGTCCAGTGCCTAGTTTAGTCCTGTTTTAATCCTTGTTTATTTCTGGTTTATTCCAGTATTAATCATAGTGTTCTGATTTAGTTTAAATATACAGTACATATACATCATTATTACTTGCAAAAATACTATTATATGACACCGAATTGTCTGTGAGTGGAGAGCACTGTAAATGTGAGATGGTTTTATTGCTTTAGTATAGACTAGTATGGAGAATGGGCTAAGCTTGTGTATATTTGAATGGCTTCTTTGAATGTTGTCATGATTTTATTTAAGTATAATTTCGGTATTGGAGGCAGTCTTCTCACTTGGCGTCATTTCAGGGCTTCTAGTCACATTGTTTTTTTTGCAGGAGGGCACTTGTGTTTAATGTTTTGTAATTTATTTCTGTGCATGTCAATAGCCACAAAAAAGTAGAATTTCAGAAATTGATTTTTAAAACGTTTACTTCTTTATATGAGATGGGAAATTAGGGATGTAACAAGAACCACTTTGATTTTGTAATATTTTAAAGGTATACTATGTAACTTTTCTGGTGAAGTGTAACCCACCTTCTTGTCTCCATGGAGACATAGAGACAAGCTGGTACCTTCAACCCAGGCAAATTTACAGGTCAGATATGTGGAGAGATGACCCCACTCACAGTAAGAAGGCAGGTATCTCAATGTTTGTTTGTTTTTTGTTGTTTTTTTGAGCAGTAAAAATGCATGTAATTGAATAAATGCAACATTAGCCATTCCAAACAATGCAGTAACATTGCCATGGAGACAAGAGATGGCATACCCTACACCAGAAATATGAAATAGAGCACCTTTACATTTCAGTATGTTACTACAAGCCCCTTTGTCAAAATGAATCATTTTTGGTGGTAAAATTGCAAGAGAGAGAACTACATTGACCATGATCCTTTGCTTTTTCCATGACAGCAGCATGTATAAATTACTGTTATTAAATACTTTCTAAATCCTACAAATATCACAGCAATTTAAAGGTGCAATATGTAACTTTCTTGACATTGACTTTGCTACTTCTGTTCATCTCCATGGGGATTAGTAGGATAAGTTTTTATATCTCTATGCAAACAAACAACTGATCAGCTCAGCAGACAAGCAACTCGGTTCACAAAAATGAAGGTAGAGCAATAAAAAATATTTGTACCTGAATCTAGATAAAATGCCAAACTGTGTAACATTACAGGCAAAGAAATGTTATGGAGATTAGCAGGTGGCAGTTCCCAAACCAGAAAAGTTCCATAATGCACTTTAAAGACTAGTTTCAGGGCATTTTTATAGGACAAAAGTGGTATTTCTGTAGCATTGGACCTCTATATTAATTGTACCATAAGATGAATTAATACCTAAATTTAATTGTTACATCCCTAGAGTACAGTACAATCCTTAACTGCATGTCTTACACTGAGCACTGTCCTTTTGAGCTGTCTTTACCCAAACATTCAAACACCAGATCACATCAGTGTACATGAATGCATTTACTGTCTGTGCCTCACAGTTGGTCAATTTGTGAAAATACTGACCATGAACAAATAAAAGTATTTTGATCTAAATCTGGTGTTCTTTGTTGACCAAATAACCACACAGAATATTTAGGGATGTTACGATAATTCAGGTCACAATATATTTTTTAGATTAATTTTCATGAGAAAGCACTTTAAACTGTTGTTTCATTCACACAAATCCTGCATATTTGGACTCTTTTTGCAACCTGAAAACTTGTGATTTGGGGTAAAATAGGATGTGCTCCACTGCATTTTGATGATTTCAGCCCTAGAACTGTACAAAAAGATGTGAGAAGAATAAGGGGTTTCCGAAACATGTCTGAAAGAAACTCCAGCTATCGATGAAGAAGCATACTAAAACAACTCAATTTTAAGTCTAAATGTATCAAGGCCTTAAAAACAAAATCTGGCTCACTGCAAGCTTAAGTCTACTACTACTTACCTAAATGCCCCACCGAACCAGTTTAATATAAAAAAAAAATTTTAAAAAAAAGGACATTAACCAGCAGTGTACTAAAGCAATGCAACAAGTGAAAATAAAGAAGCAGCCTTATAGCATTGCTCTGTAGTGCCATCTTGTGTCTACACAAATTACTGCAGAGATATAAAACAGTTTCAACAAAAGTACACAGGAGACTGAAAATGAACAGATGAGCTTTATTCAAGATTTCAGGAATGAGCATGTCTAATATTCTTCCTCATCTTCATCGTCATTCACACTGTCTGCGCCCACCTCTTCATAATCCTTCTCCAGAGCAGCCATGTCCTCTCTGGCCTCGGAGAATTCCCCCTCCTCCATGCCCTCTCCCACATACCAGTGCACAAAGGCTCTCTTGGCGTACATCAGGTCAAACTTATGGTCGAGACGTGCCCAGGCCTCTGCGATAGCAGTGGTGTTACTCAGCATGCATACGGCCCTCTGCACCTTGGCCAGGTCTCCTCCAGGGACCACAGTGGGCGGCTGGTAGTTGATGCCCACCTTGAACCCAGTAGGACACCAGTCCACAAACTGGATGGAGCGCTTGGTCTTGATGGTGGCGATGGCGGCGTTCACATCTTTGGGCACGACATCTCCACGGAAAAGGAGACAACAGGCCATGTATTTACCATGACGAGGATCACATTTAACCAGTTGGTTTGCAGGTTCAAAACAAGCGTTGGTGATCTCGGCCACAGAGAGCTGCTCATGGTAGGCCTTCTCAGTGGAGATGACTGGGGCGTAGGTGGCCAGAGGGAAGTGGATACGAGGGTAGGGCACCAAGTTGGTCTGGAACTCTGTCAGATCCACGTTGAGGGCTCCGTCGAAGCGCAGAGAGGCTGTGATAGAAGAGACGATCTGGCTGATGAGCCTGTTGAGGTTGGTGTAGGAGGGGCGCTCAATGTCCAGGTTCCTGCGGCAGATGTCATAGATGGCTTCGTTGTCCACCATGAAGGCGCAGTCGGAGTGCTCCAGGGTGGTGTGGGTGGTCAGGATGGAGTTGTAGGGCTCCACCACAGCAGTGGAGACCTGGGGGGCGGGGTAGATGGAGAACTCCAGCTTGGACTTCTTGCCGTAGTCAACAGAGAGACGCTCCATGAGCAGAGAGGTGAAGCCGGAGCCGGTGCCCCCTCCAAAGCTGTGGAACACCAGGAAACCCTGGAGCCCTGTGCACTGGTCGGCCTGTGGACACACAATGTTTGAAAAGGAGCCCACAGTGACACACACACACTCAGCCTTCACACGTCTCTCACCAGTTTGCGGATCCTGTCCAGCACCAGGTCGATGACCTCCTTGCCAATGGTGTAGTGACCACGAGCGTAGTTGTTGGCAGCATCCTCCTTCCCGGTGATCAGTTGCTCTGGGTGGAACAGCTGTCGGTAAGTTCCACTGCGGACCTCATCTGTGAGGAATAGAAATCATTCCAATTATTCAAGAGCAGACGCTGAATAAGCCTTAAGTGTTACACTGAGCTTTAGGGAAAACTAAGCTCAGCTGTAATGCAGTCACAGACCAGCAATAACAGGTAAAACCTGTGCTCATGGTTTGTAATATAGACAATGCACAAGGCTGGTCACCATGGAGACAAGTGGTGCTTTGCCCTTCAGACAAGCTCCATAGTGCACCTTTAAGATCACTTACTGTGAGCAGTTCAAAATCTCACCCTTGTCTTACATATGTGTCTATTGTAAAGATATGTAGAGCAGTTCCAATACACACCAATGACAGTGGGCTCTAGGTCCACAAACACTGCTCTGGGCACATGTTTGCCAGCCCCAGTCTCGCTGAAGAAGGTGTTGAAGGAATCGTCTCCTCCTCCCAGAGTCTTGTCACTGGGCATCTGTCCATCCGGCTGGATTCCATGCTCCAGACAGTACAGCTCCCAGCAGGCATTCCCAATCTGCACTCCAGCCTGACCCACATGGACAGAGATGCACTCACGCTGAGGAGAAAAAAAAAAATGCGTAGGTCAGAGTGAAGTACACAACTTGAACGGCCATCAAAATTACCAAGAAGCTACACAACATGCAACTCTTTCCAAAAAAATAATAAAAATAAATAAATTTTACTGAAAATTATTACAATTCAGGAGCAGTGCCACATATTTTTAGTTGGAGTTGTTTTGGGGGCTTTGGGGGTGCACACTTAACATGTCAATTTAGAGCCTTTTATGGTTACAAGTGCCCAAAAAAACATTGTTTGCTTTGCCATTTAAGGTTCAAATATTGGCCCCTATAGTGATTTTGACCCCAATAGACTTCTTGTTTTATTGTAGTTTCATTTTGAACACTTTGTGGTTGCCATTTGAAGATTTGTACATGAAGATTGAAAGCCCTATGAAAATGGGGCATAAATCTTTGGGAGATATAGGGGAGGCAAATGCCTTGTTGTAAGGCCAGAACCTATGCGCAAGTAAAAACTGACAAAAAAAAAAAAATCTGTAAAAAAAGGGTGAGGCAACAGTAAAATATCATTAAGAAGTTTGTTATGATTGAAGTTCATTGGATCGTCAAAGATTTCCTTCAGTCATCTCACATGTTACAGCAAGCAATTATATGAACAGACTCTTTCTATGTAAACTTCAAATAATCTCTGAAATAAGCAGTGACGGTCAGTGACTGTTTCCTTTTTAATTAAGGGCTTAAGTTGCTGGATAGTCATTTCTGTCTAGATCTAGTAAATTTAGTTAAGAGTCTAATCCAATGCAATAGACTAGTGGCCCTTGAACATGTCACACCAGACATCACCTTGTTAAATATGGAAACATGGCTCATCTGGCTTCTCAGATACCACCTAAACTTCTTGTTAAAACTGGTCTAAAACAGAACTTGAATGTGCTCAACACTGGGCTACATTATGGGTAAACTGGCTATGAAGCTGATCTAAATCACACTAATCTGATATTAATTACCAATGCCCACATAACATTTAGATAATTAAATGTCTAAAATGGAAGAGGATCCTGATTACCAAAAGTCGTCCAAGTGCCACCGGTAAAACATACCAGTTTGACAACCACTGCAACAGGTGACATCATATCAGTAAGGAAAGAGCCAGACGTGTGGTTTACCTACTGTACGGGGGAGGAGTCAGTTGTAACGGATTCTGGCGGCAAATCTAGCCTGTGCCCTATGGTTTGTATACGGTCTATGGCCCTATGTAATTTCACAAGGCGCAGTGACCATGGCTAATTGGGTCAACACTGGTAATTATACCAGGAATCGATTCACGAGATTCACTCGCATGATTAATATTATCAGGGACAGTCCCAGTTCTGAGTCCTGTGTCCCCTGTCCCAGCAAATTTATCCAAAACTAGTTATTTGTGCCTGTTTTATACAAGAAATGTCCTAGATGTCCCCATTTTTGACCAATCTAATCCCTGCCAACAGTAAAGAGACATACATTGTCATTTGTTTAGCTAAAATACAGAAAAGCGGTTTAAAAATGACCAAAACAAAGAAAATGTTACTATACTGACACACGTTAGTCATGAATGGGCCGAGTGTAGAACGATTTTCCTTAATTATTACACACTTGTTTCACGATTTTATTATTATCAACCACCAGAAACCGGGGTTCTCCCAGTTTCGGATTTTGAAAATCTGGTCACCCTAGAGTTTTTCTGGTTCATTGTGAAGTAAAATTGTGTAAATTAAGGATTTGTAGACCAAAACTGCCCGCTGTGACCTAGATATAAAAGTAAAGAAGACTTTGAATGAATCAAAGAACCGGTCCAGACTAGTACTTAAACCACGTGCGTCAGGGACAATGTTGATTTTAACAAAGTCTTGGCAGAAAATTGGACAAACATTTAGAAATACTCACCATGGTTAGTCGATAAAGATGAAAACAAAGGTATGAACAGAAAAAAAGAGCAGCAAAAGTTAACTCTCACAGCAGAGAACCCAATGCGTCCCGAGTAAGAATTGACTGTGGATGAGCGCGAGGTAGGTCGTTTTTATATCGTTTGCGTCAGGGAAGAGAAAGCGCAGGAGCAGATTGGCTAGTGAAGTCACGTGTCCTTTGTCTCATTGGTCCAAAGTTCAAAAATCAAAATTGTGACAGGACATATTTCAGAATGAGGCAACTTGTGTCAAGAGAGTTAACGAATATCTAAGTCTGCGCACGCTATTAATTAATTAATTAATTAATTAATTAATTTGGGCAATTTGTTTAGTTTATTCTTAGTAAAGTCACCAGCTATTTGTGCACCCAACTTAATATAATCATTCAGAAAATCAAATAGTATAGCAAGCCTAAGCATAAAAAGCATATTTTGTTTATCCTCAAACATACATATATATATATATGTTTTTTTATGTTTACAGGCCCAACCGCAATCTTTACAATGTTTTGAACAAGCATACTAGCGCAGCACAAACGGTTGGCCTAACTCGTCTCAAATAAACTTGTTAATCTCTGGAAAGGAAATTGTCAAGGTTATAGGCAAAAACACTAACCCTAACCCTAAAAAAAAAAAAAAAAAAGGAGCAAATTTGAATGTGGACTAAAACTGATTCACTTCTGCACCACTAGAGTGCACTCATGTACCATTCTCATACTAGTAAGTCACAGCTGCCCCAGATAACCCACTTATGTGTCAAGGTTTATAAAATAAATTGATAGACATTTGAGAAGGAACTTAATTCAGGCTTCATATTTATTGAAAATACATTTCACAATGTGAAAATGTGTGGCTTAAAGATGGTTTATGCATAAGATGATTTCATCCGAGCCTAATACTCCTCTCCCTCCTCGTCGCCTTCTCCATCTGCAGAATCGATGCCCACCTCTTCATAATCCTTCTCCAGAGCAGCCATGTCCTCTCTGGCCTCGGAGAACTCCCCCTCCTCCATGCCCTCTCCCACATACCAGTGCACAAAGGCCCTCTTGGCGTACATCAGGTCAAACTTGTGGTCGAGACGTGCCCAGGCCTCTGCAATAGCAGTGGTGTTACTCAGCATGCACACGGCCCTCTGCACCTTGGCCAGGTCTCCTCCAGGGACCACAGTGGGCGGCTGGTAGTTGATGCCCACCTTGAACCCAGTGGGACACCAGTCCACAAACTGGATGGTGCGCTTGGTCTTGATGGTGGCGATGGCGGCATTCACGTCTTTGGGCACAACATCACCACGATACAGAAGACAGCAGGCCATGTATTTACCATGACGAGGATCACATTTCACCATCTGGTTAGAAGGCTCAAAGCAGGCATTGGTAATTTCTGCTACAGTTAGCTGCTCATGGTAGGCCTTCTCAGCAGAGATGACTGGGGCGTAGGTGGCCAGAGGGAAGTGGATACGAGGGTAGGGCACCAAGTTGGTCTGGAACTCAGTCAGATCCACATTGAGGGCTCCGTCGAAGCGCAGAGAGGCTGTGATGGAGGAGACGATCTGACTGATGAGCCTGTTGAGGTTGGTGTAGGTGGGGCGTTCGATGTCCAGGTTCCTGCGGCAGATGTCGTAGATGGCCTCATTGTCCACCATGAAGGCGCAGTCGGAGTGCTCCAGGGTGGTATGGGTGGTCAGGATGGAGTTGTAGGGCTCCACCACAGCAGTGGAGACTTGTGGGGCGGGGTAGATGGAGAATTCCAGCTTGGACTTCTTGCCATAATCAACAGAGAGACGCTCCATGAGCAGAGAGGTGAAGCCGGAGCCGGTGCCCCCTCCAAAGCTGTGGAACACCAGGAAACCCTGCAGCCCTGTGCACTGGTCAGCCTGTGGGCACACAATGTTTAAAGAGGAGCTCACAGTGACATACACTCAGCCTTCACACGCCTCTCACCAGTTTACGGATCCTGTCCAGCACCAGGTCGATGATCTCCTTGCCAATGGTGTAGTGACCGCGAGCGTAGTTGTTGGCAGCATCCTCCTTCCCAGTGATCAGCTGCTCTGGGTGGAACAGCTGCCTGTATGTGCCAGTGCGCACCTCGTCTGTGGAGCACAATCAGTTAAACATGAGTCACATTTGGGCCCTTACAGGCTCCACACTGCATTTATTGCACATTTACCAATGACAGTGGGCTCCAGGTCCACAAACACAGCTCTGGGCACATGTTTGCCAGCCCCAGTCTCGCTGAAGAAGGTGTTGAAGGAATCGTCTCCTCCTCCCAGAGTCTTGTCACTGGGCATCTGTCCATCTGGCTGAATCCCATGCTCCAGACAGTACAGCTCCCAGCAGGCATTCCCGATCTGCACTCCAGCCTGGCCCACGTGGACAGAGATGCACTCACGCTGAGGAAAAAAAAAAAAAAGTTAAAGCACTTTACTTTTTATCAGCTCCCTCAATCACACGCTCAGCATTTAACGCAGGATCCAGTGACAGTCTAAAAGTGGCGCCTGAGAAGGGGCTCTTTGTGCGTCACCGATGAGAACATCATGACTAGTCACTTGACGCATAGCTAACGGTCATTTACGCGCCGAAAAAAAACTTAAGACAAAAGATGTAATTTACACTCTTACTGCGGTCAAACAAATACATTTATTGTCCAAAATTACTTTAATAACGTATATTTGGGAACTTAAAATTTTATAAAGTTGTATTCAAAGGTTTCTAATTCAAATGGGGGGATGTTAAAAAAAAAAAAAAAAAAAAAGAGGAACTTCTCTCCAGACTGTGACTTGATCATCGAAAATAGGTCACGCTGAAACTTCGAATTAAACCACATTAAAAGCACGAATAAATAAAAAATATCAAATTAATTAACGCTAATTAGACGTTACTTTTTAAACTTTTTATCGCTGCATGGGTACCACGTGATGACACCGGACAAAAGAAAAGATAACTTTGCCGAACATATAATTTATCATGAAAACTGTGCCTAAACATTACAATATGTCAAATACTCACCATGTTTGCAAAGGATGTTGGTAAGTTTAGGATGTGATGGAGAGAAAGAGAAAGCTGAAGCAACTCTCACAGCTAGGCCTTTAAGCGGTCCCGTGCAAGTCGTCAATGGAATTTTTTCACTAGGCGGGGCAATTTATAAGCTCTCATCCCCGGCGGAAAGTACCAGCAAAATCTGATTGGCTAAACTCCGACATGTGACTATTTTCTTTCTTTCTATTGGTCTAAAGTGTAACAGTCATTCTTTGGTGATGATGGCACAGATGCCGGGCTAAAAGGACTGACGCACACCCAAGTTTTACTCAAAATATTAGTCCTGTTTTGTCTCAAACATATTACTGAGAGCGTTAGTGAAGAAAGAAATCATAAAATGACCAGACCGACGTTAAAGCTATATGTTAAAACAAGTATGAGACAATTGTGCACGATATTTAGCTCAAAACAGCTACTGAAGACCTTGCAGTGAACCGTGAACCGACTGTGACAAAACGCAATTTTAAGTGGAATATTTCTGTGTTCACGTTTATTGTAAGGAATTTGGTGAGCTCAGGATCGGCCTATAACAGCCCTTGATTTGCGTTATTTCTGGCAGCCTAAATTTATTTTTATTAAAGGTCCTTTATTGCACAAAACACTCTTGTGTGCTTTTAGCCATGTTACAATGTTGTTACCTTCTCAAAAACATATCTGGAGTCATGTTTTGTTTTATTCACACATGTTTGAGTAACCCTGCATCATTAGTCTGTCTACATCTTCAAAAACGCTTTCAAAACGCTCTGTTCCACTTTATGATGCCATGAAGCGGTAGTTTTCACGGTTACAGCTCCTTTTACCTTTACCTTTACCTTTAGTTCAGTAGAGACTGGCAATTCCAGGGATGAAATTATTCAAATGACTCCAGTGAAGGTGTATGGGGTTTAAAAACAAAGTGGAGCACTTCCTGTATTACCACATGGTATCACAAGGTGGAACCTAGTGCTTTCAGTTTGGCAAAACTTAGCCTAAATATGCAGTTTGTTGAAGCAAAACACAGTTAAGGAGTTTTTGATGAGGAAACAATTACTTTCCATCATAGATCAGAAAATGGCATAATGGAGGCCCTTTATGTTTGAATAATATGGAATTTCTGATATACCTGGCTCAGTCCTGGTTTAGACATTTTTTGGTATGGTCCAGAGTGGATCTTTTAGTCCTGGTTTAATTTTGATTGTCTATTAGTCAGTTTGATTATTTGTTTTAGGCATGGTTTGGATCTGGTTTAATCTTGGTTTACTTCTTATAGCATAATTAGATTAGAATTAATTATTTGTCCGCCTTGCCACATAAATGATCTATTTATCCTCATTAAATCAAATTCAGGTAGGCCTCTAGTGGACAAAATAACACATAACATACAAAACATATACATATACAAAACAATACAATATAAAAAGCATAGATGTACTTTACATTGCAATGTAGGCTATGGTTTATGCAATGTGTTTATACAGTGGCAGGATTATAACATTTTGGTTGCTTTTGGAAAAGTTATTGGTTAGGCTACTGTGCAATGCTATTGCAGACATATTTAAGGTACACTTTATTGAATCTATAGGACGTGTGTCCTCTGCATTTGACCATCCTTCAGTGTCTGGATTAAACACATCAGGAGCAGTGGGGCCCGTCTCCAGATCTTGAACTAGTCTTAGTCAGGACTACCTTAGCAAATATGAAGTTAATGTGCTCATGTTATTATGGTTTAATTCATTATTTATCCACCAATAGCTGTAATATATGTATTGCATAATATTAACCTGTAAATAACTATTGCTCCCATAAACTACCATCATGTATTTGATTTTGTTGTTTACAAAAGTAAAGGTCCTATCACAATGCACTTTTAGCCATGTTCGAATGCTGTTGCCTCATCAAAAACATACCTGTAGATGTGTTTTGCTTCATTCACATGTTTGAGTAATCCTGGTTCATTAGTTTGTCTACATTTCCAAAGTTCAAAATGTTCTCTGTTCTACCTTGTGATGTTGTGTATAGGTAGTTTTCAAGCTAACTACTACCTTTTACCTTTAGTTCAATAGATATGGGCATTTCCAGAGCTGAAATCATTGAAGATGGTGTATGTAGTTTAAAAACACAGAGGAGAGTTTCCAGTATTAGCACATGTCATCACAAGGTGAAACAGAGTGTTTTCTGTGTGAATTAAGCAAAACACAGCTCCAGGTATGTTTTGGATGAAGAAAACAGGGCCCAATAGGCCCTTTGAATTAAATAAAATCATTTGTATTTTTTCACTCCTTTGAAATTAGGGTTAGGATTCAGGGTCAGCTAAATTTTATAATAGGGGATAAACTGCTAACAGAGGCTACTGACTTGTGGGTTGGACACTTCCTGACACTGCTGGCCCTATAGGGCTGTAAAGAGCTCCTAATAGGCTCTGTTTTGAGGCTGTTAGAGTATGAATTATTTATGGTGAATTGTGAGCTACCCTGTGAGCTGCCCTCTGTCCTTCAAATGACTAGAATATGTTCTTTAAGGAGAGACCAAAATGACTCCAGTGATGTTATATACCTTTATTTAGAATAGTGACAAAATGACAGTTTTGCAGTGCGGTTAGTTATTACATTGGTGATAGTTAAAGCGTGGATTCCTCAAAACACCAATCTGATGTCACTGAAGTAATATTTAAGCTTGGAATGTTTAAAGAATGTCATTTTGCACTTCTTCATCCCTTTAGTACTCCTCTCCCTCCTCCTCTCCTTCTCCCTCAATGGAGTCGACCCCCACTTCTTCATAATCCTTCTCCAGAGCAGCCATGTCCTCTCTGGCCTCAGAGAACTCTCCCTCCTCCATGCCCTCTCCCACGTACCAGTGCACAAAGGCTCTCTTGGCGTACATCAGGTCAAACTTATGGTCGAGACGTGCCCAGGCTTCTGCGATAGCAGTGGTGTTACTCAGCATGCACACGGCCCTCTGCACCTTGGCCAGGTCTCCTCCAGGGACCACAGTGGGCGGCTGATAGTTGATGCCCACCTTGAATCCAGTAGGACACCAGTCCACAAACTGGATGGTGCGCTTGGTCTTGATGGTGGCGATGGCGGCGTTCACATCTTTGGGCACAACATCACCACGATACAGAAGACAGCAGGCCATGTATTTACCATGACGAGGATCACATTTCACCATCTGATTGGCTGGTTCGAAGCAGGCATTTGTGATCTCAGCCACAGAGAGCTGCTCATGGTAGGCCTTCTCAGCAGAGATGACTGGGGCATAGGTGGCCAGAGGGAAGTGGATACGAGGGTAGGGCACCAAGTTGGTCTGGAACTCTGTCAGATCCACGTTGAGGGCTCCATCGAAGCGCAGAGAGGCTGTGATGGAGGACACAATTTGGCCAATAAGCCTATTCAGATTAGTGTAAGTAGGACGTTCGATGTCCAGATTCCTGCGGCAGATGTCATAGATGGCTTCGTTGTCCACCATGAAGGCGCAGTCGGAGTGCTCCAGGGTGGTGTGGGTGGTCAGGATGGAGTTGTAGGGCTCCACCACAGCAGTGGAGACCTGAGGGGCGGGGTAGATGGAGAACTCCAGTTTGGACTTCTTGCCATAATCGACGGAGAGACGCTCCATAAGCAGAGAGGTGAAGCCAGAGCCGGTGCCCCCTCCAAAGCTGTGGAACACCAGGAAACCCTGCAGCCCTGTGCACTGGTCAGCCTGTGGGCACACAATGTTTAAAGAGGAGCTCACAGTGACATACACTCAGCCTTCACACGCCTCTCACCAGTTTACGGATCCTGTCCAGCACCAGGTCGATGATCTCCTTGCCAATGGTGTAGTGACCGCGAGCGTAGTTGTTGGCAGCATCCTCCTTCCCGGTGATCAGCTGCTCTGGGTGGAACAGCTGCCTGTATGTGCCAGTGCGCACCTCGTCTGGGGAGCACAGTCAGTTAAACGTGAGTCACATTTGGGCCTTATAGACTCTAAACTGCATTTATTGCACATTTACCAATGACAGTGGGCTCTAGGTCCACAAACACTGCTCTAGGCACATGTTTGCCAGCCCCAGTCTCGCTGAAGAAGGTGTTGAAGGAATCGTCTCCCCCTCCTATGGTTTTGTCACTGGGCATCTGTCCATCCGGCTGGATCCCATGCTCCAGACAGTACAGCTCCCAGCAGGCATTCCCGATCTGCACTCCGGCCTGGCCCACGTGGATGGAGATACACTCACGCTGAGGAGGAAAAACACACAAAAGTTAATTTATGGTGGTAAACCAGGTATCAGTGTAATGTTCTTATTATTGTCATGGGACATCATTAACACTCAGTTTGTGATTCCACATTCCCTTAGGTCACCTAATGCAGCCTGTATCTATTGTTGAGACAGTTTCTAACTTTATTGTGACGCACTGCCTTGTCTCCATGGTGACAGCTGAACAGTGCGCAGTCCTTCGTCTTCCTGCTGCCCTTAAGAGCGTCTTAGAGGTCGTCTTGTCTGAATGGGCTCAGTTACTATCATCCTGCATTTTTAATGACACGCACTGCCTGACGCAGCATCTGTGAGCGTGTAGGATTACGACTCTAGCTCGAGGCGCGCCCAAATCTCCATCATAAACCAGACAGACGTGATGCTGAGAAAGCAACACCGTCAGTGGCGTCTGAGTGAAGTCTGACCACCGCAATGGAATCTGTAGGACCACCGCCGTTGTTCAGTGTGCGCCAATCAGCTCTGCGCAAATCTGATACATTTTAACAGTTATAAGTTATACCAGATATATAGGCAGTGATGGAGACTATAAAGATCTCCACCTGATGCATCTGATGCACCAGAAGTAAATCCTATAACTTTTCTGTCAACCTGCTCCAAAATTATCCACTTAAACCCGTGCGTAAAAGGCAGGTGGATACATGGAGCAGTTCTGCCAACAAAAAGCACAAAATATATAAAGATCTCTTACCATTCTGATTCTTTAGATCGGACCAAAGTCACTGAAGCTCCTGGAAGAGATGTCTTACAATTCGACTGTTATGGGGTCGATGTAAGAGATAATGGCGCACACGAGGATGGACAGCGGTTTATAAGCGCGTAAAGCCCCGGTACCGTAGGCTGCTCTGCTCTGATTGGCCAGAGCTGCGTCACTCTCTCATTTTGAAATGGACTTTTGCTTCTGATTGGCCAGAGCTCAGTTTCTGGCACAGACCACCTTAAGGCCCGCCCCCACCCGGCATCCACCCGTCACTGCAGCAACGGCATGGCGCCATAAGAAGAGGAAAATGCTGCGTAATTATCGGCCTGGTCACGGCGTAAGTAACGGGCGCATGGGTCAACAGTGCATAAACGCGTTATACACAGATAAAATGAACACAATATAGCCTCTGCAATGAAAACACGTAGTCCATATTGTGTAAAAAATGCCAAATGCACAGCAGGTGGCCATGCTGATAACGCTTATATAAATGATGTGTAATTATTATAACTCTTTGTGCCTATTTTGGCTTATATACCTATCATCAATAAATGTTTTTTATTGGTATGGATGTGAGGATGTGTGTATATTTGTACATTTTTACTGCTACAGATCTGCTCTGCTGAAGTTTCGTTGTATTTCATACAATGACAATAAATAAATCTATCTATCTATAATAATTATTAGTCTTTTTTTTACAACATTGAATGGGGAACTAACACCTGTGGCTAAAAGGCACTAGCCATATTTACCGTTTTAGTGTATATAACTTATAATTTCTGGCTTTAGGCTAATATACTATGATTTCCTTCCATGTCTGGACTAGTTGTCAAGACGAAAAAAATTCAAAAAAAATTGGCTTGATATTAAATTAAAATTAATTATGATGAGCAATGATAATTAAAAAAAAAAAAAGTGGCTTATTAGTTCTGATAAAGATCAAGACTGTTCCAAAACTGTCCAATTTTGCCCTATTCAAGGGGTTTTATTCTAGTTTTAACACTTTTAATTGAATATGTTTTTTCCATACTACTTTTAACACCAAAAGTATTTATTTGATTTTGACCACCACCAGTCTTCACATGGATCAAGTCTGAAAAAAAAAAAAAGGTGTCAAAAGACTATGCATACAATTCAACATGTCCAAACTAGCTAAATCTCCATGCATTTGTCCTTTGTTACCCTAGGGCCCTGTCAATACCACTTATATTCTTGTTGAAGGAGGCCAGTGTGTACCCTCTCTGCCCTGGTCGCCATTTAGGCCACGGCCGCCCTGCCCCCTCTGCCAGTCCCAGCCGTTGCCATGGAGATCCTGATCCACAAACCGCCTTTTATCTGCGTCACATGACCTGCTTAAACGCAGCATTAACCACCAACTGCCCTTCGCCCCAATATCACCATAGAAACAGGTACAGTTGTTTTTAATACTTAAAAGTACATGGTGTAACTTTTCTGGTGGAGTCTCTGCCACATTCTTGTCTCCATGGAGATGCTGTTATGTTGCCTGGAATGTCCCACAGTATGGCATCAACTACACAAAGACAAGCAGGTGGTGCCAGCAGGCCTTGTTACAGGTCAGATCTGTGGAGAGACAACCACACTCATACTAACAATGCATGCTTTTTAAGGCATTTTAGCATTATAAACAACTGTAATTGCATAAATACAGATAAGTTTAAAGACATACATGTAGGCAACCCAATTATATTTCCATGGACGCAAGCAAGTAGTGGATGCCCTCCAGAAAAGTTACATATTGCCTCTTTAAAATGATCCCTCTCTCAGAACAGATCAAGAGACAGTATTCTTAGCCTATATGTGTATATGGCATTTTCAATAATATTTAATAAGATTGTTTATAGGCTACATTCACACATCCTAGTTTGCTCTCGCTTTTATTCTGGCATAGTCAAAATGTAGACTTGGTTCGGTCCTGGTCTAATCCTGGTCTAGTCCTAGTTTAGTCCAGATTTCATCAAAGATGAGGCCTTTCAAAAGTGCATCTTTAACTACAAATTATATGAAATATGTAAATAATGTAGTAATAATCTATTATAAAATAACATTACCAATGTGTATATGTCACTACCTGCTGCTTGTAAACTTTCAGTCAGTTAAAACCTTAGATCCATAATTATGACCATGCTAGCTTTAAATTATAGCAATATCTTTTGACTGTGAGATAATGCTAAAAAAGAGGAAATTGTAACATGTTCATAGTTTTCAGTCATCTGATGGACCCGGCAGTGGCATCACACTTAACAACACTATTCTGTATCTAGTCTATGTGAAAATGAACACAGCATGTATTTATCCAGCTATACAACGCAATATGCAACCTAAAAATAACAGTGATGTAATGTGAATTTTTAAAAATGAAAAACATCTGCAGCCATCTGCATTTTGTAGAGCCCCTAAAGTTCAGCTGCGAGCAATAAAAAACCCTTACCACCAACAATCCTTTGACAGACGTTGTCTTGGGAAAAGAAAGTATCCTAAAGAATGCTACGCTGTTCAAACTACCCTTTTATTTCAAATGCCATGTCAACCTGCTATAGGAACTGCACTGTTTAAGTTAAAGCAATATATTTATAGGACTAAGGTAATCGTCTTGGTTTGGTCCTAGTTTTATCCTAATGATGAAGACTTTGTTTGGAACTGATTTAGTCCTGGTCTAGTCCTGGTTTAGTTTGACTTAAACCCAATTTTGATGTAGTCTAGTCTAAGCAGGAACACAGCAGTATTAGCCTAAACTTTTGTAATAATTTCAGTCATTTTAAACTATAGGGGGTATTTCATTCCTGATAACATAGTCATAGTCAAATATGTGTACATGGGAATGTGTACTCTATACATACAGTTTTAGAATGCAAATAAAACAAAAGTAATTACTGGTCAGACTAGTGAAGTCAACTTTTGATGACTTCAGATGTCCTCCCTTCCTCCTATAGTATCCCTGTGTGTCAGATGTCCTTCTATTTTCCTATATCATTGTCTCTCAGTTGCCCTCTCATCCTCCTATATCCCTGTGTGTCAGATGCCCTTCCATCCTCCTGTATCCCTGTAATGTTAGACTGAGATGGAGGCAAGTCAAATGCCTATAGTTAATCTCCAGTTGCTGTGGTTGGATAAATCCAGAACTAAACCAGGGCTAAACCAGGATTAGAACAGGACCAAACCAAGTCTACATCAGGACTATACCAGGTCTAAACCAGGACCAAGTGTGAACACAGTCTATATAATATACTGTAGGCCTACACGGTCAGGTTCAACATTTATGAATTTAACTTCTGTATAATTCTTACAAAAATACTATTTATCAGAAGTACTGGCTCCTATGTCTGAGAGAGAGAGACCCAAGTACATTTTGAAACCCTTAAAGCCTATAGTATCCTTTTGTTTGTGTAAATAATCTGAAACACAGCCCATTACAGTGCAAAAACAGTAGCAGATGGTGAGTACGCTTTGTCACTGTGTCGGTGTAGAATTCAGTTAAGGATGCACAGGGCAGATAAAATGGAGGCAGCCACACCCGTCTCACATTCCCATTCTCCATCTTGGCTCTAGTGTCCAGCTGCTCCTGCCCCTCCTCCGTCAGCTGCAGCGTGGGATGTTTTTAAAAGGGCTCCGGGCACTAAGCCATTACTTACTTCCTGCTCCAAAATGTAAATGCATTAGAGCTGGACAGATAAGAATATTGATCGCTTTGAGACAGTCGAATGTGCTGATGTTCCTCTCTAACATGGTGGAGGAGTAAGTATCCCAGTCCTGATTATATGGTATTTTTAAAAGAGATATTCAAAAAGAAAATTTCCAAATGTTGAACCTAAGCATTTATTTAAGTGACAAAGTTGTATTATTATTTTTGTCCAACCACACCACAACATCTGCCGTTTAACTAGAGACATGTGGCCTGCCCCCATCTCAGTCTAACACTACAGGGATACAGGAGGATGGGAGGGCATCTGACACACGGGGGTGTAGGAGAACGGAAGGGCATCTGACACAAGGATGTAGGAGGATGGGAGGGCGTCTGATACACAGAGGTACTGGAGGGTGGGAGGGCATCTGACATACTCTTGAATTGTTAAAAATGACTGCCAAGTACATGGAGAGATAAAAATACAAAGCAATTTTAAGTAGCTCTCTCACCCAACATATTGTGAATTACTAGGCTTCAGATAACAAACTCTAATATCTCTGTGTGTCAGATGCCCTCCCAATCTCCTCTATATACCTGTGTGTCAGATGCCCTCCCATCCTCATCTATCCCTGTGTCAGATGCCCTCTCATCCTCCTATATCTGGATTTTCCTTCTGGAGGTTTTTTATGGATGGACATAATACAAAATATCTGAAAACACCCATATTTATTTGAATTAATTTGACAGTTTTAGCATCAAATTTTGCTCATTTAGATTCAACCTTATGTGTTATTCTAAAACTAAAACCAACGAAAATTGTCAGTTCCTCTTGTTGACAGCAGCAGCAGCAAAGCCCCATGGAGACAGGCCCAGACCATGTGATCACCCCACTGCATGACATCACTGCAGAGAAACTGGGACACGAAGAGAGAGGGAGGAGAGGATTACAGAGGGAGGAGAGAAAGACGGAAATGAGAGAGGGGAGCCTGGAGAGAGGAGGAGAGGATGCAGAGGATGGGATGGAGGGAGGACTGAAGAGAGAGGATGAGAGGAAGAGGCAAAATATGGGAAAGTGGGTGGAGAGAGAGGACGGAGGCCAGAGAAGGGGCGGGACGAAGAGAGGGGGGAGGAGAGAAGGAGAGGGGGGTAGGAGCGGAAGGAGGAGAGAGACAGGGAGGGGAGGAGGGAGAAGAGGAGAGAGAAAAGATGGTGTTTTGGGGCGTTTCCCAGCTCCCGCCATCAGCAGCAGAGAGGAGCCATCTTACATCATCTATAATGTAGCAGGTGTAAAGACTGAAGACAATGGACATGCACTGATTTAAAAAAAATTTAAACATTTTTAGACAATATAACTACATTTTAAACCCATGGGGCAAAATGAAAATGGCCTGTGATATTTAGCGTTGTCAAAAAGTATGGAAAATCAGATACTAATCAATCCTAAAACTATATCGAAACTAGACTCATTTGAGCAGGTATTGATACTAA